TCTCTCTCTCTCTCTGTCTCTGTCTCTGTCTCTCTCTCTCTCTCTCTCTCTCTCTCTCTCTCTCTCTCTCTCTCTCTCTATCTATCTATCTCTTTCTGTGTCGAATGCGATGAGTTTTCCTGCTTTCAGTAATTCATATTTTGTTGCTTTGGATGTCGGACTCGTCTATCCCTCTGCATGGTATCCGGCAAGTTGGCAACAGAACCACACTGTCTGCTGTTGCTGCTGGTCATTCACGCCAACATAGGAGTTCACAATCATAGCCTTGCCCAGAATTGGAAAGCAGTTACCGGGTGCAGGTTGTGCAGCTCGTTTTTTATGAGAGCAGGAGAACGAAGTCTTCTGGTACACAACTCCCTAGTCAACGGATATCCTTAAGCCCTCTGAACATATGACACATTGCGTTTTGTGGCACTGACAATGACAAATAGTGATCATCTAATTGTGAATGATCCTGCCGTATTTATCAAGGGATAACATACTTCCCCCACTCTCTCCCACAGCAACCTGTTGACAAGGCCCAAAACCAGAAGTACTGCTCTTTGGTTCTTCTTCTGGCTTATCTTCTGGCAACACGAGTGCCATTACGATATATATGCAGGTCCACAGAGGGCGGCAATCCTTGATTAGCAAACCGGGATCCATGGTCGTTGTATTTTGAAGGATAAAGAATTTTGGGGAGACCCTCTTTGGGCCGGAGGATGTGGAAGTATCTCTCAGCAAAGGTCCTTCCATTAAATGACACAAACTCCGACTTGCCATTGCTGAAGAATTTGGTCACTTCATCTGTCCTGGCATTTTGAGAAGTACGCAGTGGGGGTCCCTTTGCTAGTTCTGCCTGCACACTTGCATTAGTACTCCCATAGACTGTCCTATCTGTTGGTCCTTTTGATGGCTTGATATTGCTCACAGCTTTCGGTAGGTAACCTTGGTAGAATGGAATATGACCGTGATTATATTGATCAAGCTCGAATTGCAGCATATCCTCCTTGGCATTCCGACGTGGTCGGGCATCTGCTCGTTGAGAATAAGAAGGTATGTACCCAGCGTATCCGGGCAGCTGCTGACCAGACTTGGTCATGGCCAGGTCCCATGTTCGGCAGCTGGATTGATCTGAAACACTCCCTGACATCACAGCACTCTGAGCCAGAGGATTGGAACCTCTGACTCCATGACAAGTTGTGTACATCGATGGGGCGTTTCGAAGGCCATCCGGTTGGAAGAAAATGCACTCCTTGTCCCAGGGGTTTTGAGATGGTGCGCTCTTCCTCCACTCGTAGGGCCTTGCCTCAGAATCTGGAAGGATGAGGTTTACCTCCTTCGTTGGCGCTACTAGCCTCCTGGTCTTGAAAAGGCCTGCAGCCACCTTGCCACCAACCTTAGGATTGTCAATTGCCATCAGTGTATAAGCTGAATCAAACCGATAACTCTGCACCATTCCATTGATGCAGGCAGCGACCTCTTCGTATTTTGGTCGAGGGCTACTGCTTCTTGATGAGCACCCAAGATGGGGCTTCTTGTTCTCCTTGCCTTCATCGTCTGGCGGGGCAACTTTAACAAAATCGCTGTGCTTCACTATGTCAGCCTTGTAGATGCTTTTGTCAGCGAGAGGTCCAGTTTTGGTTTTCTTTGTCCTGCTGGCATCTCTGGACCACCACCCACCGCCCTGCTCCTTGATGATTTTATACGCCAACGAGGGGTGTTTCCCCATACGACCATAGGTTGTAGGCTCGCCTGCAACTTTCTCCTTGAGAAGGTTGGATGTTGCAATTTCATTGCCCGTCTTTTCCACATGCCTTGTGCAGTCTTTGATAGGAATGAGGATGCCTTCCTCAATGGGAACAAATCCCGTCCACCCTGGAATGCCCAGTCTAGGGCCATAGGACAATAGGCTTTTGTTCCCCGCTTGGCGAATCCCATTGTGATGGTGGTCAACGTACTTGTCCTTTTTCTTCATCTCGCTGATGCTTCCGAGCCTTAGAATTTGGCAGTGAACACAAAGGAAAACAGATATCAGAAGTTTCCAAAACTCGAATCCAAACTTCTTTGCATGAAACAATCCCCTCATTCAGCAAGGATGAAACACCGAAGCGGGAGGGATCACAGCACGAGTGGGAGCAAAGGATTGAGAACGAATGGAAGCAGCACGTCCCGTTGGCTGGCTCGGTAGGTTTCATGCCCGGGCGGCACCGCGTAGGTGCTGGGTTCTAAATCTTAATCCTGTTGCCGTCACTTCTTGGTGGCCTGAGGAGGATGACCAGATCCCGTCAATGGTGGTAGCTCGCTCGGTAGGGTGAGTTCTGCCGCCCTGTAACCCTTGGCGATGTCGGAGCGTCAGACCGGGTCGAAGTGGCTGCTCAGGTCCTCCTGTGGCCGGTTGGGACATACACAATAAAAGCATTCTCATTCTCAGGTTGATTTGAATTCTTAGTCAGGAATCAGGATCATCATAGCCGCCATTCATGGCTCAATTACGATGCCTATCGGGGTTGACGCCCTCAATTTCAAGAGGCTTAAACTATCAACCATACCTGTCATAATAGAAGTTCTATAACCAACAATCATGACATATACTCTACAACAACTTCCATAATGATCTCGAATTACCTGGGGCCAGTCACCTGTCGATATATCTCAAGACTGCCGCCCTTTTCCTTTTAAAAAAAAAATAAAAAATAGAAAAAGAAAAGGCAGTCATCAGCAAGCTGGGCACCACAAGACAGAATAACAACCATTGGCTGCCATGAATTGGAGAATCCTTGGATTGCAAGAAAGAAACGCACACCCTTGTAAGCCCGGCAGCCTCACGACAGCACGGCTCTGTTGATGATGGGTCTTTCTGACTCTTTCAGCATTCAATAAGATCATGTGAAGGGCTCAGAGTGTGGCACCATATTGAGACTGCTAAAGGCCATCTTGAGCTCTTGAGTCTGTGAAAAACAGTAGTCTGCAATGATGAGCAAAAAAGTTCAAAAACTGACAGCTGCTTAGTCTTTCTTTTGTTCTACAGATGGGGCTGACATTTAGATTACCTTAACTGTTTACTCAGGCGCAATCATGTATCATGCGGTTCAGCCACTATGCAAGGCCCCACATGTTTGTTCCCCCCACCTCAGTTTGTGTCAATCATGCTTGCCCAGCGGTGCCACTGTTCTTCTCTGTATCGCCAAGTTTAGTGGATATCTGAAAGGACCCCAAATCTCTTTCACTTGTACTCAGGGGAAGGTGATGGAAATGTCTTTAACTCACATCAACAATCAGCAGCAAAGAATCAAACCATCTTTAACTTTTGACGAGGGGATGATCCACACCATTATGCGCCATAATGAGAATGTCGTATTTGTGTGTACTACTCCACAAAAATGCGACCTTGCTTCTTATAAAGTGGTCGGCCGCTAACATTGCTGCATTCCACATGACTTAAGCCGTCAGTCCTGCGGAGAGCCCCTTTTTTCTCACTCTGTTGAACCATGCGGTCAGTCCTGCGGGCCGCATCATGTCCATGCATTCCACATGACTTAAGCCGCCAGCCCTGCGGGCCACATTATGTCCATGCAGTCAGCCTGTAGAGTTGTTGTCAAACAGTGGATGGGTTGTAGAATTGGGATTTGTCCCCCCCCCTCCTCCTTTCTTAAACATCCTAGCGGGGTGCCACAGGGGGGTGATATGAGCATCCCTCTGTGATACCCTCCCAGCAGATGGTTCCTGTCTATTGGTGGGGAGCTGCACCTGCTGGAAATCAGGTCTACTCCATGAGTTAACTTTTGCAACAGGTCTCAGATTTTCTAGCGTAACCGCCAGGGCATGGTCGAGAAAAGACGTTCCATTTTTTAAGACCTCCACTACATAGAATGGCCTCCTGTTTCCCCAAAGTATCGAGTCCCGTAGGCCCAGATTTTTCCCGTTCATAGCGGTGACTCAGACTCTTCTCTTACCTTCTATTTATTAAAGCAACATCAATTGGTGGCTGTTCATCGAGGGGGAGGCCCAAGACTCCTCCTGACAGAGAGCCACCCCTGTAGATGGTTCTAGTCGTTGGGAACAGTTCATGCTGCACACTGGCTTCAGGATCCAATGAGACAGTATATTAAGTGCACTACATTTGACGTGATCACGGACAGCGGAGCATTGATTACCCATCCCCAAAGGATGGGCATTGACAACCAGCTGCTCTTTCCTGAGAAGGAATAACCTGATTTGAACTCGCGACCTGTTGATGAATTGGTGTATGACAAGGCGATCTCAGTATCAAAGGATTTCCACCACACACTTTTTTAAGCCCTTCGGAACTTATCAAGGATGGACGGGGACATCTGGGAGCTGTGGATTACAATGAGCTGCCATTTCACTATAAAAAAAAATGCGACTTTTTTCAAGTTTTTGTCCCAAATTTGAAATTTCGGAATTTCCCTGTTTTTCATACATTTTTGGAACCCATGCTACTACGCACCTAGAAGGAATGCCATATGAGAAACGACATTCCTTTGCAAGGAATGAGAAACGACATTCCTTTGCAAGGAACCAATCAATGGGAAGTTGGGCACACAAGTTTCCTCAACGTTTCTGAGAAGCAAGAGACTTTTTTTTTTAACCAAAAGCCAGCTGGGCATACTAAGAGTGGTGATATGAGCAGCCACTCCTTGGTAGTAGGGCCGTTGCCAGCTGCTCCATCTATTGGTGGGGAGCGGCACGTGCTGGGAATCGGGCCCGGCGTTCCATGACAGATTATTATGAGAAAACTGTCGCCTGCAGTTTCAGTAGTCAGCTCAGAGAAGCAAGAGACTCAAAGCAGAACGAGCATATATGAGCAGATCCTAAAGCAGAGTTACAAAGCACAGAGCATACCAAATAAGAGCACCCTGACACTGAAGTCTCCTGATAAAGAAATTCCAGCTTCTCACATTCACTCATCAATGCAACAACAGTGTAGCAGCTGTACTATGATGTGACTGCCTATATGTAAAGGTCCTGCCCTTACTGAAAAAGATCTTGTTTTTCTCACCGTCATTGCTTCAAACTTTATGCATGCATCGTTGTCAAAATCCACACCAAGCTAGCAAGATCCACACGATATGAGTGCACTTGGAACTTGAGCTCTGCCGTTATGGCCGCTGCCAACAACAACAAGCAGGTTTCTCTCTCTCTCTCTCTCTCTCTCTCTCTCTCTCTCTCTCTCTCTCTCTCTCTCTCTGCTATCTAAACTGTGCACAGGTCTCGCAATCTCTCTCCGAATGTCATCACTGCTCTCCCTCTCCCACTGCGCTAGTCTACAGCTATGGTGCCCAGCTCCATTGACCATCTCCCTCATCTGGCACTGTCCACACTTCCAGGATTTTGGCAGACAATAATAGCACAGTGCTTTCGCATAAGCTACAATTGAGGAAGAGGAGGTTCCTGGCTGCAGCCTCCCTTTTGTGCATGCAGATACCTCCCCATTGGCTGTCACTGCCGGTCCCTGTCTGGCCTTGAAGCTGCCGACAAAGATTTTGACTGTCCCTAGGCCTTTCCTGCAACTGAGCTGCGATTTGACCAGGACTCGACATGCGGTGAAACTCTGCCTACTGACTGCTAGAAACTTCTACTCTCTCTACGGCCTTATCCTACAGAATCTTTATTTTGGCCTGTATGGTACCTACCGGAACTTCTATGTGCGGCCCTATGGTAGAAAAGAAAATGGGACGTGGTACGCGGCACCGTACTACTGGGGCGCGCGAATCCTTTCACTCCCACCGGCATAACGTTGAGCTTCCCCGAGAAGAACTACTTCTAGCTGGACCCAACGGTTTGGTAGCTCAGGAGGGGAGCTACGCGGCCGTTGCCCGCGGGGGAGGGCGACAAGGAAGAGGACGTGGCCGAGGAAGAGGTGGCCGCGGACATGGTGGAAGAGGACCTGGCACCCAGAGGGGTGGTGCCTCTGGCGAAGGTAGCTACTACGTGGGAGAAAGGGGAAATGGTCCCTCGCAAGGTGGCCGTGGTTCCAATTCTGCCTGGGGAAGAGGAAGTGGCACCTGGTACAACAAGTGGGATAAGCCATACCCACCTCATCCAGGTCTACCCGAAGGGTAACCTTGGAAAAAGCTGGGAATTACAAAGAAAGTTTGGCAGGAAAGGAAAGCTGCCGACCAGTGCCTTAAATGTGGGGACCCCGACCACATTGTCCCTTATTGCCCTGACTATAAGGTGGCAAAAGGGAACAGTCAGTAGAGGTCTCAGTTGCCTCTACAGGGACTTCTGATGTTGAAAAAAAGAAATCCTCCCATTCGAAGGTCCCACTGGCAGAAACTTAAGAGGTAGACAGTCCCCATCTAGTGCACTGTCCAGAGGTGGCAAGCGTATGCATCTCTCTAGATGGATCCCTCGCTGGCATGGGTGATGAGTTGAGTAGGAGGAATGATAGATAGCGGGTCTACACGCAGTTATATTAGTAAGAAAGGGTTAAAGAAGTTGCATCTCAGGCTTAAAGTTAAACAATTGGATAAGCCCGTAGTAAGTAAGTTAGCTAATAGTACAGTAACTGTTATGGATAGATATGTTGAAGGGGTTAAGGTATACTTTCGGCTCGAAGCAGGGGGGAAGGTGGAACGTGTTCTCCACTTCCTGACTCTCTTGGTGGAAGATAATCTTCCTTTTGACATTCTTTTAGGTATGGATTGGGGTGAAGCTGCAAATGCGGATATAAAGATGAGGGATCATGAGTGTTGGCTCCCTAGTCCGCAGGGTGGAGATAAGAGAATCCGCCTATTCCATGAATCAGGTAAAGAAAGCAGCGTAGCTCATTGTTGTATGAGTGCCCCAGCGTTCGCTCGCCATGTTAAGAAGCACAATTTGTATGACCAAGTTTTTGTGGCATATGTGCGCCCAGTAAGAGAGGGTGAAAATAAGGAAGAGCCTAAGTCCCCAGAAATTGAGAAACTTCTGAAAGAGTTCGCAAAAGTGGCAGAAGCCCCGAGTGGTGTAGTTGAAAGACCTATCAAACATCGCATTGAGATTATTCCAGGGAGTCAGATTCCTAAGGGGCCTATCTATCGAATGTCACCCAAAGAGTTAGATGAACTGCGAACCCATCTTGATGAATTGTTGGAAAAGGGGTGGATAAGACCTAGCTCCTCGCCCTATGCTGCACCTGTGCTATTTGTACCAAAGAAAGATGGCGGGGTACGCATGTGCATTGATTATAGAAGACTTAACGATATAACAGTCAAAAATGTTGAGCCATTACCAAGGATTGATGATCTTTTGGATAGAGTTCAGGGTTGCACATACTTCACTAAGATTGATTTGAAGTCTGGCTACCATCAGATTGAGGTAGAGCCAGAAGACCAACACAAAACTGCCTTTCGAACAAGGTACGGGCACTATGAGTTCGTGGTGTTGCCCTTTGGTCTTACTAATGCTCCTGCAACCTTCCAAAGAACGATGAATGAACTTTTCCGCGAATGGCTTGATAAATTTGTTGTTGTGTATCTTGACGATATTTTGATTTTTAGTAAGAATTTGAGTGAACATTGTGAGCACCTTCGACTGGTGCTAAATAAGTTGCGTGAGGCAAAATTGAAGTTGAACCCGAAGAAGTGTGATTGGGCTAAACGTCAGGTTTTGTATTTGGGGCATGTGCTTGATGGTGATGGGATCAAACCGGAAGACACAAAAATTGCAGCGATACGTGATTGGCCTAACCCCCGCACTTTGACCGAGTTGCGGTCGTTCCTTGGGCTAGCCAATTATTATCGGAAGTTCGTGAGACACTTCACGATAATTGCTGCGCTCCTTCGCAGATTGCTAAAAAAGGAAACCATCTGGAAGTGGGATTCAGACTGTACAACCTCGTTTAAACGTTTGAAGAAATGTCTAATTAATTATCCGGTTTTGAAAGTTGTTGACCCTTCGTTGCCCTTCGTAGTCACAACTGACGCCAGTCAGTACGGGATAGGCGTTGTACTCCAACAAGATGATGGAAATGGATACAGGCCTGTAGAATTTATGTCCCGACGACTGCCTTACGAGAAGGTCGCCGCTTCTACGTATGAGAGAGAGTTGTATGCTCTCCGGGAAGCTTTGGATTACTGGCGACACTATCTCTTAGGACACCACTTCAAGGTATATTCGGATCATGAAACACTTCGCTGGCTTAAGACATAGGCCCGGATAACACCTAAATTAACGAGGTGGGCCGCTGAGATTGATCAATATGACTTTGAGCTAAAGCCAGTTAAGGGTAAGTATAACATTGTTGCCGACGCGTTGAGTCGAAGATCAGATTTTTTTGGTGCCATTGTAACCTATTTAGATGTGGGCACCGATCTACAGGAGAAAATTAGAAATGCGTATTCCACTGATCCTGTCTCTGGCGCTATGCTTAAACGTGTACAAGAAGCGCCAGCCGAGTTTCCTAACTATCATATCACGCAAGGACTGTTGCTTGAAAGGACTGATGTGCATGACAGGCTTTATTCCGAATGTGGAAGAGATCAAGAGTTTGATCTTAGGGGAATGTCACGATACCGAGGGTCATTTTGGGTGGAGGAAGACATACACAAACCTTTTGCGTTCCTACACCTGGCCTCGTATGAAACCAGACTGCATTGCGTATGTGCAGGGCTGTCAAGTGTGTCAAAGAAATAAGAGCACCACACAGCCTCCCCTTGGTTTACTGAAGCCTTTGCCTATTCCAACAGGTCCAGGAGACTCTGTGTCCATTGACTCTATGAACACCAAAGTAAAAAGCAGGAATGGAAAGACGCAGGTAATGGTAATCGTCGACAAATTTAACAAGTATGCTGCCTTCGTAGCTTTACCAGCGGAAGCAAGAACGAAACTAGTAATCTGGGAGTTCTTTAACCATTGGGTAAAAGACTATGGGCATCCCTTGACAATCGTGAGTGACAGAGACACAAGGTTCACAAGTGAACAATGGCAACAGCTAATGAACGTCTATGGTTCTAAGTTGACTATGTCTTCAGGCAGACATCCTGAAACGAACGGGCAAACTGAGCAAATGAACAAGATTTTGCAGCAAACGCTGCGCATGTATATTCGTCCCGACCAGATTGACTGGGACAAACATTTACCCAAAGTTGCTAGCGCCTACAATAACTCTGTTCATTTATCTACATGCAAGACTTCGATGGAGTTGCATCTGGGATGGCGTCCACGTAGGCCTATTGATCGGCTAAACCCGGATCAAGTGCATAAGCTTCCACTAGGAACTAGTGAATTTGCTATCTAGTATCAGAAAGATATTGAAAAGGTAAAAGAAAATATAATGAAGGCACAACACCAAATGATAGAACAGGCAAATAAACACAGAAGACCTTCTCAGTTTGCTGTAGGTGATCTGGTGTGGGTTAAGTCTAAGGAGTTTGTTCCCGAAGAGAACATCTCCCAGAAGTTGCTACCAGCCTACAAAGGACCTTGGCAGGTTCTAGATGTGATTGGCGATGTGGATGGTCCTTCATATGTTATAGAGATTCCTCTGCATCTACATACGTATCCAGTATTCCACGCTTCGAAACTCTTACCTTGTTTAACAAATGAGTTGTTTCCCAATCGCAGATCGGTGATACCTCCTAGTATGGATGGGAAATACGATGTGAATAAAATTGTTGCTGAAAGTACCTTTCAGACTGGACGTAGAGGCAGACCACAGCGCCAGTATAAGGTGAGATTCGCTTATCAGGACCCAAGTGAAGATCGTCGGTTCACACGAGAAGACCTAATGGATTCCGCACCTCATATTGTGTCTGCATATGAAAAAGCTAAAAGAGGAATAAGTATTATAAATAGATGAAGGTTTTTTCTCAGAGGACTTCGAAACTAGGCCGACGAGAGTAAAAAGGCCTTTACCCGATTCAGACCTTGTTCGGCAAATGCAGCATAGAGGGGTCACTCGCCAGGGCCCAACTCGTGAAAGCAGATCATAGGACATGTTCTCTGGGTCAAGAGTCACATCCTAGCTAAACAAAAGCCAATGTCAAAGGCCACAGTTGTGCCCCCGAACGAACAGTTGCAATATCTAGATTTGGGGGTCACGTATGTTCATCCAGGGGGTGCGCAGGTCATGTCTGTTCAGGCAAGAGATGTGTCTGTACGTGCAGTATATGTGTCTGTTCGTGCAAAATGAGTGTCTGTTCGTGCAGAATGTATGTCTGTACGTATAGTAGGTGTGTCCTTTCAAAAGGAAGTCAAAGGGTTGAGTCCCAGTCAGGATTCCAGTCCAAGGGAGGGTCCAAATTCAGGTTGGAAGTGCGAAATTGAGGCCTGAAGGCCGCAGCAGCAGTGGACCCTGAGGAAAAGGAACTGGGGACTGGAAAAGGGACCAACAAAGACTGAATTCAGACCTCGCCAGGGGAGACCAGCACTATAAGAAACGAGGCAGCCTCCCCACAAGGCAGATCCCCATGAGCATTGATGCGTGGAAGTGTCGAGGCACTTGTGCGCTAAGGTGTAGGAAGAAAGCGTTGGCAGAAGAAGAAGTTGCGCTAGAGGAAGGGAAGCTCAAGCCATAGCTGCGCCAGGCAGAGCTAGTGTTAGTAGTAGTATTAGCAGGGTTAGTGTTGGTACATCAACGAGAGGCATTCTGAGTAGATCCTTGTAGACAGGGAGTGTGCAAGTAAGAAGAGACAAGGAGAACCGGGGCAGAGATCTTGAGAGAAGAGAACAAGGGAGAGTGGAGACAGGTGGAGACATTGGTGATGGTGGAAACTTACGTGTTGGCGTCATTCTTGAGATCTGGAACAAGCGCTGGCTAAGCCAGGCTCTGTATGTATGTTGGAACGAAGGAGAGACTTGTATACTTTGGGCGCTGGACTCTTGAACTTGAGAAACTCTTGTATAATGTGATTTTTGATAATATAAGTTGCGCGACTCGGTTCTTCTCTCATCTCAGCTTTGAGCTTTGTGTGAAGCTATCCTATCTGTGTTTGGTGACATGTGTGCATGCGAATGAGACACTCCAGCAAGTGTGAATCGTCAGGCCCCTTGCAACTACTTCTGATGTTGTCATCTTCGTTTCAACCTGATAAGTATCTAAGCTTTGAGCTTATGGCAAACCACCTCTGCCAAACTCCTGTAGCCTTATAGGCATTGCTGGTTTCACAATGAGCCGGGGTCAGTCCATGCTCATTACATTGCAGCAGTTCATCCATAGTTGCCTTAAGTGCTGAAGTACTTTTCCATTTCCTATCTGGGAGATTCAGTATCAATATCTCAGTTCTCCTGGCTAAGTTCTTGTCCTCAAACCGTTCTTTGACGACTTTGAGAAAATCTTCGATGTTGGGAATACTCTACCATGGAACTGCAACCCGCTTCCTTTCGCAGGGAGATTGCAAAGCTCATGGCATCTTCTCCCATACAAGAACTTGCCCTTAACATTCGGTCCCAATACGGAATTCGTTGTCCGTAGACATAGGATTCGACTGTTGCAATCCAATGCAATACACTTTCATCTTTCTTTCCTGTGTATGTCCATGGAATTTTTACTTTGATCTTATTAATCTGCCCTGTTCCTTCTTCTCGCTGGACACCCTTTCCTTTCTTGTAATCACCCCATCTCCGTCTCCATCTCCATCTCCTCCGCCTCCGCCGCTGCCTTTGACTATCCTCTCAATCACAGCTGGAGTAAAGGTCTGGGTGATGTGGTTGTCTAACTTTTCAATGTATGATTTTACATGCTGATCGACGTCTTCGGCGGACTTTTCCAAGAAGGTATTCCAGATTCCTTCAAACTTATATTGGTTGGTCTCGACTTTCTGCAAAGTTCTATTTATAGCCGCGACCTCTTGCTTTGTATGAAGGACCGTTTCTGTCAACAAGGCAAGCTTTTCTTCGGTTGCAATCTGTTTGTTTTTCTGCTCTTGCAACTCTTTCTGCAACCTTGCTCCTTCTATTTGTAGTCTTTTCCTTTCTTCTAATTCTTGCCTTTTTGCTGCTAACATTTTGCTATGCAATTCTGCACGTTTTTCTTCGAGCATAAGGTCCTTTTCTTTCTGGTCATCAATGGATGTCAACTTTGCAATGAACGTATCTCGTTCTTCGTCGGTTTCCTGTATCCGGTCGCTGGAGTATGCATACTGATCATACCACTCCGCCGGCTTAACATTAAGTCCTTCACCCATCTGACTACTTTCTCCTCTTCCAGCCCGCCGTCTGATCAGCCTTTCGGCTCCTTCATCACCCTCTTCTTCTTCTTCAATAGTCTGTAACTCCTCTTTCAACTGCTGCTCTAACTTTTTTTTCATTTCCCTTTTGAATTTTTCTTCTTCCATTTGGGCTTTCTTCTTTATCCCCTCTTCGTTCTGTCTTTTTTTGTCTTCTTTCTCTTTCTTTTTCTCTGCCTGCCGACGATCGATTTCTGCCTCTTCAGCAGGCGTGGGCCCTGGCTTAATTGTCCCTGAACGCATCATCATTTTGGATGCGCATACTCTTCCAAAACCCAATGGGAAGAAAATACGGAACAGAGGACCCAGTAGAACAGAAAGGGCAATCAAGCCCTGCATCGAGTAGTCGTCCATGATGGGACTTTAGCACAGGGATACGTCCGCTGGTCCCACCAGGTAAGACTCCCAACTGATCCTTAAGCTAATCTAAGTGGATGGGAGAAAACGATTTCGCTCTGTTTTTTTTTTTGCAAACTCTGGATGTCACTGCTGTAATAACAAATTTCAGATTTTCTTTCTTTGAATATGCAATAGGACTTTTTTTTTTTTCACTCACTTTTATCTTTTTCCTAACCTTGTTCCCTGTGTGCAGGTATCAGCTGAAGTGTGTACTATGTCAGTTGTCTAGTCAACACTTTGATTACTAATTATCTCTGCCTAGTTTGATTATGCCTTGTACATATCTTGCAAACTGACGTGGCAGACTACCAACCCCAGTGTACCCCTATCGTTACTACAACACAGATATCAGATCAGAGGGACAGAGGAGAGGACCAGACAAAACTCTGACTACTCTTGACTCTGACGTGACCAGACCCTTTGTTCCCAATCAACCAGACTACAGACCAGGTGACTCGATCCGACAGCAGCAGCAGTGACCCCAGAGAGGATGAGGAGTAGTGGTACAACACACATATCCAGCCAGGTAAGGGAATAAAAGGTGCTTCTCTCTTTTGCAGCAACCGTCGATGAAGACTCCTCGTCGCTCCGCACTCCAACGCTCCACGCGAGGTAAGTTTCTCTCCTTCGCCTCTTCCCCTTCGGCCAACTCCTCTCTCATGTCCCAATCCACTTATTCTCTCCTTACACCTTTACCATAGCCAGCATCTTCAAGCCAGCATTTCTCTCTCTCGCCAGCCTCCCTCAAGCCAGCGCATCAGCGAGCGCAAAGAGTCTTGCTCCGATACCAAAATTTGCAAGGGGCCCGACGATTCACACTTGCTGGAGTGTCTCATTCACATGCACACATGTCACCAAACACAGATAGGATAGCTTCACACAAAGCTCAAAGTTGAGATGAGAGAAGAACCGAGTAGCGCAGCTTATATTATCAAAAATCACGTTATACAAGAGTTTCTCAATTTCAAGAGTCCAGCGCCCAAAGTATACAAGTCTCTCCTTCGTTCCAACATACATACAGAGCCTGGCTTAGCCAGCGCTTGTTCCAGATCTCAAGAATGGCGCCAACACGTAAGTTTCCACCATCACCAATGTCTCCACCTGTCTTCACTCTCCTTGTTCTCTTCTCTCAAGATCTCTGCCCCGGTTCTCCTTGTCTCTTCTTACTTGCACACTCCCTGTCTACAAGGATCTACTCAGAATGCCTCTCGCTGATGTACCAACACTAACCCTGCTAATACTACTACTAACACTAGCTCTGCCTGGCGCAGCTATGGCTTGATGCAGCCGCGCAGCTTCCCTTCCTCTAGCGCAGCTTCTTCTTCTGCCAACGCTTCCTTCCTGCACCTTAGCGCACAAGTGCCTCAGCACTTCCACGCATCAATGCTCATGGGGATCTGCCTTGTGGGGAGGCTGCCTCGTTTCTTATAGTGCTGGTCTCCCTTGGCGAGTTCTGAATTCAGCCTTTGTTGGTCCCTTTTCCAGTCCCAGCCTCTGTGCTGTGTGCCACAGTTCCTTTTCCTCAGGGTCCACTGCTGCTGCGGCCTTCAGGCCTCAATTTCACACTTCCAACCTGAATCTGGACTCCCCTTTGGACTGGAATCCTGACTGGGACTCAACCCTTTGACTTCCTTTTGAAAGGACAGACCTACTATACGTACAGACATACATTCTGCACGAACAGACACTCATTCTGCACGAACAGACACATATACTGCACTTACAAACACATCTCTTGCCTGAACAGACATGACCTGCGCACCCCCTGGATGAACAGACGTGACCCCCAAATCTAGATATTGCAACTGTTCGTTCGGGGGCACAACTGTGACCTTTGACATTGGCTTTCGTTTAGCTAGGATGTGACTCTTGACCCAGAGGACATGTCCTATGATCTGCTTTCACGAGTTGGGCCCTGGCGAGTGACCCCTCTATGCTGCATTTGCCAAACAGGGTCTGAATCGGGTAAAGGCCCTTTTATAGCATGCGCATGGCTGTCTACCTGTCGAATTCATGGATCCCCCTTGTACTTACTCATAACGTGAGAAAATGCCAGGTACAGTCTCGCATATTTGCTCTTTGCGGAACCAAGTATCCTCTCCGGGTCTAGGTACTGCCATCTGACTCTTAAGAATACATGCGGCACATCGACATGCACTGCACCGTGCACGTGCGCCGCATCGCGTTGAGTCGTTGACTTCGTCTCCCCTTCCTAGGATGGTACTTTCGATTTCTTCACTAAAAGGAATACACATGCGGTTTTCCCCACTACCATCCTCACCCGAAAATTATGCCCAGGCGTTGTATACGCGCCAGGCATTATATTCGTTTATAACGCCCGGGCGTTATGTTCGGTAAATTGGTGGCAACTTCAGTGCGGCCCCAAAATTCACGAAAAACAAAATCAAAAAATTCTGTAAAAAAAATATGTTGTTCAGAATTGCAATGCGACCAACTTTTGTCTGAGGGTCACTTCAGAATTCCTCGTAAACTTGGGAAAAAAAAAATAAATCAAACCGAAACATACCCCTTGGAAGCAAAAAAACCTTTCCAACCCCCTTTAAAACTCATGTATACCCCCCTTCCCGCCCTTTAAAACCCATGTAAACTACCTCTATAAGGCACTCTGCCCATGGAACATTCAAATACAACACCTGGGTGTTCTATTCGGGAGGGGCGCTCCGTTAGGAAAAAAAGTGAGTATCTGATCTTTTTAGGGTAAGTTGAGTATAACGCCCGGGCGTTATTTTCGGGTGAAGATGGTAGCTGTGAGAAACAGCAATCCGTCTGAGATCCTATACTCCGGCCATTCATGTGGTCTCTTTTTTTACCTCAGCTGTAACTTTTCTATAGATTGGATCTGGCCCATAGACATTTCTAATGTTCTTCAGCAATTCTGTTCCTGGATCTAAGTAAGTAGCACTTACTCCAAAGAAATGTGCTCTTCTGGACAATGCACCAGCTACGGCATTGTACTTCCCTTCTATTGGTTTCAGCTCGAAGTCAAAGTAATCTATCACCATAGCCCCAACTCTGCAACCTATTAGACATTCGAGACTGTACTTTGAACCATGGCTACACCGGACCCGGACCTGACAGCTCATGTCTGGGGACCAGACGCATGTCCGGTCCGGTCCGGCCGTCCGCACCTCTGGACATGCATGGTTCCTGATGGTCCGGACCAGTGAACAGGTCCAGAAATGTCCGGACCGTAAAAAACAAAAAACCAAAAAAATCCTGAAAATTTTCAAAAAAAATTATGTTATGCAGAATGACGATACAAACCACTTTTGCCTCTCAGTCATGTCCAAATTCCTAACCAAACTTGAGTTAAAAGTCAAAAACTGAAAAAATTGGTACATATAATAAATTATTATACAGGGAATAGAGCAGAAAGCCGATCTGGGTGACTCGAGAACTGCGCGCCTTGGAGCGCTGGTACCGGGCGAATAGCGGTAGCGCTCCAGTAACTGCGCCGCTACACGTTTTCACCGCGCGTAGCGCTGTTCTCCTGAAACCCTCGCCGCCGAGACGAGGATCAGGCCGGGAGTCATGCTCGTCCCACCTCGCGGACGTAGGCTTCGCCTGGATGCATTGTACTCCCAGAACAGTCCATAGCCTCAGTAGGGTAGGATACTCTCCATAGCCGATACCTCAGCACTAAACTAAGCCGAGCAATGGAAGAACAGCTTCAAACGACCTCCCTTCTTCATTAGCGCTGAAGTATGGAGAGTAGAAGTTAGGTATGAGGATGGGAAGGGTGGACATGGCAATGGGACCATGCGATCTCGTGGAGCAATCCTGATACCCTAATCTGGCAACGGACGGTTTACACAGCTCCGAACGAAGGAAGTTTTGGAGTATGCACTATCCGATTGTCAGTCCGAACTCTCGCATGAATGGGCCGATCCTCGCATTACTCATCGAGGCAACTATCACTCGCCACGAGCGGAGTGGAAGTATCCAATGTCTCACGGTAGGGGAAAGTCGGGGTCTGTCTACTGGAGAACAAGGATTTAATCTCACACCAGCACCTCGTAGACACACTCTGACCACGGTTACTCACAAAGTCACTCAATCTGCCAGTTCACGATGCTTTTTACTGTGGTAATTATCATAGTATGAGAAGAACGAAGCACTTGTACTGGTCACGATAAAGGAGTAGTAATCAGGTACGGACGGTCGGAATACAAGGTCCGTGCGCCTCGTAGATGCACTCCGACCTCGATTATTCACAAGTCATACAACCTGCCAATTCACACTATTGTTACAGAGGTAATTATCATAAGACGTGCAGAACGAAGCGACTGTACTGGTCACGTTAAAGGACACACTGGAAAAGAGAGAGAAGTGGAGTGGGAGAGAGAGGAAGGGAGGAAGAGAGGAAGAGAGTGAGAGAGGKGGAGAGGGAGAGAGAGAGAGAGAGAGAGAGAGAGAGAGAGAGAGAGAGAGAGAGAGAGAGAGAGAGAGAGAGAGAGAGAGAGAGAGAGAGAAAGAGCAGGTGATAGAGAACGAGAGAGAACAAGAGAGAAATCCTCTCGAAAGAGAAAGAAGAGGAAGTCCTCGCCAACAAAGTAACAAGGACGAGAGGATTGAAATACTGAGCGGGAAGACAGGAACCGGGTTCAGCAGGGAGGAAGTAGCTAACAGGTTCGAGCAGTTGGTGGTTTGAATCGTAATCTAACCCCCATGTACAACACTGGGCTTGATCAAGTTACCGCTATCCACGGAAGAGCCAATACCACGATCTACTCCACTCCCCCAGGCTGCTGTTGCTCAGCACTTAGGCGAAAGTTGTTCCCTTTAGCACGAAGGCACAGCACACTCCGTGGTC